GCTGCCCCCGGGGACCTGAGCCGGGGTGCCCCCGGGATGTCCCCGGGCACCTCTGACCCGCGATGTCCCCGTGCCCCCGGGACGCTCCGCACCTCTGGCCCAGGATGCCCGTGTGTCCCCATGATGTCCCCGGGCACCTCTGACCCAGGATGTCCCCATGTCCTCGGGATGCTCCAGTGCCCCGGGATGCTCCGTGCAGGCTCCAGCCCTGGGATGCCCCGGGCACCTCTGACCTGGGATGCCTGTGTGTCCCCGGGATGTCCCTGGGCACCCCTGGTCCGGGCTGCCCCGTGCCCCCGGCTGCTCCCTGCCCACCCGGCCCCATCCTGCTCCCAGGGGAGGTTCCTGCCTGGGCAGGCCCAGGGAAGCCCCTTCAAGGGGTGGGGGCACAGGGTGCCTGGGAGGAGACCGCTGCCCTGCAGGTCTGGCAGCTGCCCGCACAGCACGGTGACCTGCCTGGTGCTGGCCGGTGTCCCATGGGGACAGTGACCGGCACTGACTCTGCAGCCGCCGTGGCTGCACTGCAATCCTTCCCCAGCCCGCTGGCCAAGAGGGACGCATCCTGCCCAGCAGTGCTGGCGGACCCTCCTTGGCTGCTCCTCACCATCCCCTCAGGCCTGTCTGCCCTGTCCCCTTCTGGACCTCAGACCAGGCCCCAGCAGCTCCTTCCTCGCCTGGGCAGCACCGACCGCTCCAGGGGCCAGATCCTGCCCGGCTGAGTCATTAGCGGGGGGTGGGCATGGCGGCGGCTGTAGGGCAGATCCCCAGTGGCGCCCGGGGCTGGCAGGGCCCTTCCCACAGCCCGGGCAGGCAGGGCTCGGGCAGGGCTCCCAGCTTTGGGCAGGTGGGGAGGGGCTCTGGGGGTGACGGGGGGGGGGGGGGCAGGCAACCGTGGGCCCCCTCCCACCTGCGCCCTCCCCGTGGCCCAGGTGCAGGAGTGGAACGTGGAGGCCCCCCACCTGATGCCACTGCAGCCGCCGCTGCTGCCGGAGCGGGCGCACGTGCGGGAGGCGCAGCTCCACTCTGCCGAGGCCTCGCTCTGGACCGTGGTGGCCACGGTGCAGGCAATGGAGAGGAAGATCGACCTCCTCGCCACCCGCCTGCTCAGCCTGGAGGGTCGGTCCGGCACGGCCGAGAAGAAGCTCCTGGACTGTGAGAAAACAGCCATGGAGTTCGGGAACCAGCTGGAGAGCAAGTGGGCCGTGCTGGGCACCCTCATCCAGGAGTACGGGCTGCTCCAGCGGCGCCTGGAGAACATGGAGAACCTGCTGAAGAACAGGAACTTCTGGGTGCTGCGGCTGCCCCCCGGCCCCCGGGGCGAGGTCCCCAAGGTAATGGCTCCCAGGGGGGCTGCAGGCTGGGTGGAGGGACCCTCAGCTCCCCTGGGGAGCGGGCGCTGCTGAGCCGCCGGGGGCTTGTCTCTGCAGGTGCCGGTGACGTTTGTTGACATTGCCGTCTACTTCTCGGCGGAGGAGTGGAAGAATTTGGAGGAGTGGCAGAAAGAGCTGTACAATAACCTGGTGAAGGAGAACTATGAGTCTTTGATCTCCCTGGGTAAACATCCCTTTTCGCCCCTTTCCCGGCAGGCCGGGGTGATGGCTGCGTCTCCCCGGAGGGTCCCGGACGTGGGTGCCCTGGTGCCCCATGAGCGGTCAGTGGCGGCACACGCCGTGGCTCCGGGGCCTCCCGTTTCGGAGGGAACCCATGCAGCTCGTGCTGTGCGTGTGGGGACAGGATGATGTGCTGTGCCGTGCTGTGCCGGTGCCGCCTCATGGGACAGCCTGTGCCCCCCAGTGCCGGGGAGCTGGAGTGGGTCCTTGTCCCCCAAAATCAAGGGCCTGAGCATCTGCGCTGCACAGGCCTCCCGGCATGGAGGTCCTGCTAAATTTAGGCAGCTTCTCTGCCAGGAGAGATGCCAGGGCCTGGCAGCCCTGTGCATCCCCCACGTGTTCCCCCCACCTCTCGGCAAGGGAGGGGCGGGGCCGCGGCCCCCCCACCGGTGCCAGCCGTGCTGTCTCCCCATGCAGACGGTGCCCTCTCCAGAAGCGAGGCGCAGCCCCGCAGCGAGCGTGGGGAGGGACCCTGCGTCCCTGAGCAGAGGGAGCTGGAGCAGAGGGAGCTGCCGCCGGACGCCTGTGCGGGTGAGCAGCGGCCGGGAGCCAGGGCAGTGCCGGGTCCCCCCCGCGTCCCAGCTGCCTCCCACCTCGTGTTTCCCCCACCCCGCTGCTCGCCCCGGGGACGTCCCTACTCCTTCCCCGGCAGTCCCGGCCCCCCAGGGCCCAGTTTTCAAGCCATGGCCAGACTCTGCTTCCCGCCGTGCAACCAGTGGCCACCACGAGTGACCCCGGAAAATCCCCCATGACTAATGTGCCGGGGGTCTTGAGCATCTGTTGCTGGTAGATCCATGCGTCCCCCACCACCACCACATCGTGTCAGAGCCCATGGGTTGTGTCACAGTCACCTGTCCCCATCAGCTGTGCCGTTGTCACCCGTTCCCATGGGCTGTGCCATGGTCGCCATCCCTATGGGCTGTCCTGCGGTCACCTGTCCCCACAGCTCCCTCGGGGGTGTTTGAGGTCCCATAACTGCTGTGGGATGGGGACATCCCGTGTGGCCGGAGCCCAGGGGTCCCGCACCCCGAGGCGCGTTGGCCACGGGGTCGTGGCAGGCGGCTGCAGCCTGGCGCCGGCCAAGTCTCTCCTTCTGAACAGAGTCGCTGATCTCCACCTCCGACATCCTGTCCCGGATCAAGCAGGAGGTGGCCTTCGTGGGGGAGCAGCAGTTCGCGGAGGAGCGGGGGATGCCGGCAGACCCCTGCGCAGGTGAGCCCGGGGCTGTGCCGCGCACCCACTCGCTGCCCAACGCTGGCAGCAGACGCTGCCTTTTGGAGCCATTGCCTCCCCCAGTCTGCCCGGCACAGGATGCGGCCCCGCTCAGCTGAGTCCCCGTCCCCATCCTTCCCTGCAGGCGCGGATGCCCTGATCACAGCGCACGACTTCTTGTCCTGGATCAAGCAGGAGGAAGAGCCCTGCGTCCGCGAGCCCTGGGAGCTGCCAGAGAGGGAGATGCTGACGGGTCCCGGTCCCGGTGAGCGATGCTGAGCCCAGCCCCATGGGCTGGGATGGGGCTTGCGGCAGGAGCACCCACCCAGGCTGGGCTGTGGCTTGGGGACATCCCCGGTGTCCCTGGCAGGCAATGACCAGAGCCTTTCCCTCCCCTGCAGCTGGCGAGGGGCTGCTGGTGAAGACGGAGGAGCGGTGCCCCCACGCCGAGCCCCCCGAGGAGGTGGGCTTGCCAGGCAGCTCCGGGGAGCTGCTCTTCCCCGGCGCAGGCTTCGGGAGCCCCGAGGGACAGGCAGCAGTGGCAGCGGCGGTGGCTCTGCCGGCACAGCACAGACTGGGCAAAGCCCCAGGCTCAGAGCCGGGGCCCGAGGTGGCGGGGG